TTAAGATTCAAGGTGTTAAGGGGACTTATAAGATATTCTATGGAGTGACAGGATGTTTGTTTCACACCTACATTTTCACAAGTGCTGATTATGTGACTACTTCTGTATAAGCAGAATGATAGATGACAGTAATTTTCCAAAACTATACAAGAAAGACTAAAGCCAATTTACTTCAAATTTTGTTTTAAAGCATTGGTGCTATCTGCTTTAACCACAGCTTCTGTAGTGAATTCCACATTTTCAAATTAGTTTTTAAACCCATATTCACCACAAACGCACAATATTCCCTGGAAAAAAAATGGATTTGGCTTGATCAGCTTCCAGAATGCGCATAAATTCCAGTCCTGCCAATCGACGACATATCATAGTTGCTCATAGATAATCTCTGAAACTCTTAACAGTGCACAGATGATCTCGGCATGGCACTGTACATATGTGCTTCAGGATGCATTCGATGGCCCTTGGTGGCAGAATTTATTGCATTTGTTTTTAGCAATTAAATTAAAGGCTCCGTTTGGAATTGCATTAATAAAAATATTATTGTTGTCTCCATTAACATGGGCAGAAAATGTAAGTCAATGACAGATTCAGAGCAATTTTCTCTCTTGATTTTCTTCCCCCCCCATCCAAGAAAAAAATGGAGTTTTGAATTGCAGATAATTAGGCTTTAATAGTTCTTACACATTCATTACGAGTGCAAACAAGGCCTATTTACTGCTTCCAATGGTACCATAACCATTGACACCTAAAGTGATGGATTAGCATTTAGTCACTTTAGCTCCAACTATACAGAAACAACCAACAGCATGTTAATATGCATTGGACCACATAACACAGGATCCTGGATACGATAGAGATTTCATCAAATTCTGCATAAAGCTGGAGAACCACTCATTACATTGTTTTGCTCCCACAAGAATAGCCTCCTGCAAATAACCAGATTTTGCTTTGCTTAATTTCTTCAATAACTTTTTTCAATAGATGTACTTCATTTAAACACATGCTATTTGTGTTTAAAAATAACAGCACTAAGCTGTATGGATAAATACCATCAGTTACAGGTACTTACCCATGAAATTACCAATTTCATTAAATATTTTTCATTTTTAGAGTTCCTCCAGAAAGCCCTGTAAAATAGTTATTTTGATCAGTGGCTTTAAGGGACATGCTGGAAAGATACCCATTCTATCAAACAGAGTAGGTTATCTGCATATGCACCACAACACTTCTCGAGAGCGCTGGTCTCCAATAGATCAATGTTTGATTCCCCACCCACAGCCCAAAAGTCTCCATAAATATTCGCTGATGTTTTAGAAACAAACAAGATCGGTTTGGATGAATACGACCTTTCAGCCCATTTGATCTCATCCTGCACCAATTTGAGCTTGGCCACTCAACAAGGTTCACAGGTTTGAATACCAGCCTGTGCTCAGAACAATAAGACAACATTAATTTGGGCCAGGGCAACTAGCTAGAAGGAGAAGAAATCAGTTTTGTGCTCCTAAGTGTGTATATATGCACTGCACATGTGAACTAAAATACCCCCACTTGGTATCAGCCAACTGCTTCTCCTCCCGCAGCGTCACATATGGCATTCTTCAAGGTTCTATCCTTAGTCCTCTTCTCTTTAGTAACTAAATGCTTCCTCTCAGCAAGGTCATCCTTAGGCATGGGGTTAATTTCCACATGTATGCGTTTGACACCCAAACCCCTCTTCCTCCACCTTGAATTCCAGGACAATTGCTGTTCTGACTGATTGCCATCAAGTCATGGATGAGAGCTAATTTTCTACAGTTGAATGCCAGCAAAATCGAGGCTCTCTTGCTTGGTTCCCATCAGTGCCTTTCCACCTCAGGCAATGACAGCATCAATCTACAATGATGCAACTCCACCTCACAGTCAGTGTGGAATCTTGTTTTACTCTCAACTGATCTCTAAACCCCAAATCCATCCTGTACACACTCAGCTTTTCCTTCTGCAACATCACCGGCCTGGGACACTAACTCTATCCTCTGGTCGACAAGACCCTCGTCCACGTATTTATCACATCTAGGCTCGACTATTTTCCTGATTGTCAGCCTTCCCAACTCTTCCCTCCACAAGCTGCAGATCATCCAGAACTCTGCAGCTCTTCTCTCCTGCACAAGCCTACCAACCCCATCCTCACCCAGTTTCACTGGTTCCCCATCCCCCAAGAGTATCAAGGTCAAGATCCTCATGCTTATTTTTAAACCTCTCCAGAGTCTTACCCCCATCCTACTTCTGTGACCTTCTAAAATGCCTGCCCGCTTGACAGGCCTGCTTCATGTCCCCAGCCCTGCCTGCCCAACCACTGACAGTTAGGCTGTCAGCCTAACTCTCTCAAAATCCGTCCAGGAGTTAACTTCACCCCAAAGTCCATCTCAAGACCTTCCTCTTTGACCACACCTTCGGTCATCTTACCATCCAACTCCCTGGCTACCACCCCTCCCAAATTGAACCCCCAACTCAGGTGAGAGCCTCTACTGTCCAGTATCCTGAGACATCCTCCCAATATGAAAGGTGAAATGCAATTTGTTGTTGATGTTTTTGTGGGGTGGACTCCAAATAAGGACAAGATCTGATTCAGATAGAATGCACTGCACCTCACAACTCACATGCAAACAGCCTTCCAATGTTCATTTACTAGTAATGACTTAATAACAGCTACTTGAGTACTAGAGAGAACCTGTAAAATTATATAGAAGAATGCAAAATGAGTCAAATATCTTGAGGAGGAAAACTGATTCAAAAGTGCAATTTTTAAAAAAATGTTGTATCATTGGTGAGGAAAATAGGCAAATCAATTCACTTTTTGATAAAATGAATACATGATGAAAGACCACTCATGTCTATGTGCCTGCATCATTCTTAACTTTCCTTTCTACACAAGTTCCACAATATCACGGTGAACTGAGATATACAATTGATAAGGATGTTGCAATGTATTCACTATTCCCAATTTCTAAACTAACCTATGAGCTTCTTCATGACTACAACAACAACACAAAAAATTACACTTGTATACTGCCCTTCACATCAGAAAGACTACAACTAGAGCTCCCACTCTAAGCTCAGGTACAAACCCAGTGCCTTGGGACGTGTTACCAATGTGGAAGGTGCTATACAAATGTAAATTTATTGTAGTTGTACAACAATGAATTAACCTAATTTCTTTGATTTCTAAAAGTTTTGGGGAAACACTAAATATTTGTTGGACTAGCTAAAATTAAGTTACCAAGTACAGGTGTGTTGTAACATCCTTTAAGAAACCAAATTGCACACATCTGCAAATAAACATAAACTGGATCATATTCTTCAAAGTAATTTCCAAAATTAATTGTACACACATTGCTCTGCCATTACATGCACGCTTCTTTGAACATAGCACTGGAATACTGATACATTTTGGTTTTCTTTATTAACTGGAAATACAGTCACTACATCACCTAACAAAAGTACAGTACTTCTCAGTGGTTGCAAGAACAAAGAAACAGGCCAGTCTGTTGTTGTGCTAACATGATGCTCCCAAGAGTTATACAATTCAGTCACTCCTACACAGATCACCCACACATCACTGTGGATTAGATCCAAATTGAGGGAAGATACCTCGCCAGAGGAAAAGAGAAAAATTAGAAGGCAAAAGCAAACAATACCAGTCATGCACCTACTACCAAGTTTAAAAACACCATTGCCAGGCATTCAGGAGTAGGACAGTTGCACCCCCACCACCACCCCTTATCTGGGGAATGGTGCCCAGCGCAAAACAACCCAAAAGCCATTTGCATATGAAAAGGCAAAACTGGAATTCAATTTAAAATATCCCACGTTTTCTGCGAACCCTGTGAAAACCAGCAAACCCGAGGAGCCGAGGCGCGATCTGAGGCCCAGTTACCACCTCAATTCTGCACCAATAGCGCCTTCCCATCCCCGCCGGAGATGGAGAAAGGAGCAGAGAGATGGGAAACCCGGCGAACACACACACAAAAACATTTACAATCCCTGTCAACTGCTCCACACACAAAAAGTAATCCCTACAACACGATCGCCCTTAAGAGAGTCGAAAACATACCGCCTCTGAGTGATCTCAACCAGCATTAAAGGCGATGTAAAGACATGCGATTTTTTTTAAAAAAAAAAAAAAAACCCCTGTGCAGCCCCACGCACTCGCTAATGGATGACAGTCAGAAAATCCAACTGACGCTGCGAGTTCAGCCTCAGAACCGGGCACCACCACACAAAAAAAACCACGAAGCTGTAAACAATGATATAATGCTAACAAAAAAAATACTATTTTCTGTCCAGCACACAGGGTGTGTGTGTATTTTTTTTTGCCGTGAACCCTATATATTCTTCCTAGTTCCCCCCCCCCACACACACACACCCGCATGCGATTGCGTTAAAACAAAAACATTTTTTTAATGGGGGGGAGAGGGGAGGGAGGGGATTCAAAGACTCTTCTTGCATGTATGTGAGCTGGAGCTGGATGTTCCGCAAGGCACAGCAGAATAAAGCCAATCAAATATGGTTCAAATTAAAAAGAAAAAGAGAAGGCGCGGGTGGTGGGGGGGAGGGGGGGGGGGTGAAGGAGGAGGGCGTGTGAGCTGCTGCCAGACTGAAGATACTTGGCTGTACTTCTTGCAGCACTCAGCATGTAATGCCCCCCACCCCACCCCACCCCGGCGAGTGGCACCATCAGTTCGCCAGAAGTCACTCCCTCCCTCCCTCAGACAACTGCGGTTATGCAACACCCACACGACACCAGAATCAATACCTCACTCGGCGGCAGAAACCACCGGGTGCCAACGCGAAGCACAATCTACTAACAGCAAAAACACAGACAGACAGACAAAAAAAAATAAAAGAACAACAACTGTACGGCAAACACACACACAAAAATGTGCAGGAACAACCCAGAGAGGTATGGCAGTGTAATAAATGGCTGCCCCCCCCGTGTGTGTGTGTGTGTGTGTGCGCCTCACCTCCTCCAGTAGGGTCACCGTGTTCCTGCAGTTGACCAGTTTGGTGGTGAAGCTGGACGTGGTGGGCGAGTTGTAATCCTCCGTCGTCTCAGCGATGAACTCGGGCACCGAGATTTGATCGGGCATCCTTCACGGTGGACGACGACGAGGAGTGAGTGAGTTGGTGAGGAGAGGAGGAAGAGAGAAATAGTGAGTGTGTGAGAGAGAGAGAGAGATGAGAGAGATCAACCGTCAAACGCGCGCGGTGGGGGGGGGGGCGCCGGCGCGCGGTCAGGTCAGTGTGTCGGTCGCTCCGCTCGAGCTGCAGACGGTTGCTCTCGCGCCGCGCTACAGACGCCGGTCACGTGGCAAAACAAGGAAGTGCTCTGCGCATGCGTCATCTTCACCCCCCCCGCGCCGCCACCACCACCACCCACCCCGTTTGGGCGGGTTCACGCCCAATTGGGCGTGTTTTTTTTTGTTGTTGGCTTGTGCAAGAATTAAACAGCTTAGTTGTCACATTTTTAAGTTAAACCTGCAAAACGTGTATTTCCCCTCCCACCACCCCCTTTGAAGATCTTTTATACAGTTTCAAAAGCACTGACCTAAATTGGCCACTCTGCTTCCCACAGGCGGAAACACATAATAACAACGACAATAACAACTTGCATTTATCCAGCGCCCTTCACGCAGGTTAGCGTCCCAGAGCGCTTCATTCGATAATACTCGGCGTTTGGTAGACTTTGGGCTACAAGCATGTTTTAAATGCTGCAAACCCAACACCCACCACTCAGCTCCCTCAAAACATGTCCGAGGTGTGTTTGTGCCCGTTTGTCTGTGTGGGTTTCACTTTCCATTTTATTATCTCACTTAGTCACTCTGTCTTGACACATTTCTTTCTTTGTTTCTTTCTCCTATAAACGATGAATGATTCATTTTTCCATTCACACACACACACACACACAGGGTCTATAATAATAAATAATTATCTTTTTGTTTGATATAGCACCTCTCACACCAGGCGGATGCCTTAAAAAAAATTGGTCTCACCCTTCATTTGCTATTTGTGAGACTTCCTGAGTGAAAGTTGTCTGCCACCTTCGTCCACAAAGTACACAGTCATTACACTTGATAGTAAATACTGTCTGTTAAGCACTTTGAGATGTCCTCCTGACAAAAGTCACAATGTCAAACGTAAGGATTATTATAATATTAATAATAATAATATTCCTTGCATTTGATATACCCCCTTATCAGGTCTTCATAACATCTCAAAGTGCTTCACAGAATATACTGTAAAGTGAATTGACTGTACATTTTGTGGATGAAAGGCGGCAGCCGATTGCACACAGAAATGTAACACAAACAGTGGCAGACTGAATTTTTTAAAAAGGGATTATTACCCCTGGAGAAGCAATCCACTAATCAATTAATAACTTAGGCGTGTGGAGTAACGAAACTTGCTTAAGGTTTCACCCCACCCAGGAATCGAAACCAGGTCCTCGCTTGCGATGTGAGTTTGAGATTACTTGTACATTTGCTTTGTTGAGCTACAACTGAGGGGGCACCAAGTACGTTTTCCACATGAAATCCACATTAAGTCCAAAAAAGATTTTTAAAAGAAAATGCAGAAGGAGATTAAAAAAATCCCTTCACGAGGACCCCATTTTTTCTGCCCATCTTTGTCTCTCAAATACATTAAGGATATTGTAAACCTTTCATATCTTTGTTATAAAACATGGTTGTGAAATGTAATAATAATCCTTCCATTTGATATACACTTTAGGAGGATGTCTCTCAAAGCACTTTATAGTATTTACTGTAAAGTGCAGTGACTACAACAACAACAAAATTAGATTTGTATACCGCCTTTCACATTGGGAGGACGTCCCAAGACGCTGAACAGTTGAGGATCAGGACCCAAGCATGGGGGGTAGGGTTGGGATGAGAGAGGGCAGAGAGGTATGAGGGTGGCTGAAGGCACGGTCAAAAAGGAGGATTTTGAGTCATGCTCCGAAGAAGGCAAGGGAGGGAGCAAGGCGAAGGCATTGTGGGATGGAGTTCCAAAGATTATGTTCTTTTTAGGCAAATATACTGATAACCATTGTGCTCCATAATAATACTGTAATCTGGGGGATACTGAACTACTTCCTGATCCCCCACACCCCATTTCTGTCCTACACCATCCATTGCAGTCCCTCGGAAGCCTCCTGGAAGAATCCTGTTAAGAGAGGATGCAGATAAAAGATCTACCCAAGTGCAGATTTGGACTGGGTAAGCTATGGCAGCCCTCATCATTCTATTTCCCTTATCCTTCTCACATTTACTGCTCACTTAAAATGTGAAAGATTATCTCCCTCTCTCGTGCCACACACACCAGAGTGCCTGCCATGTACACACTGAATAGTTCTCTTTCACTCTGAGTAAATGTCTGTTTTTCACTACTGAATGGCTCCCTCGCTGTTTCTCTTTTGCCTTTCTTTTACTGGTTTAGTTTTGCCTCTTGCAGCACAAAGAACAACGTCACATGGAGTTGTAGACAATTGACGGTCACTCTTTATGCTCCCTCCACTTTTATTTTGCACGTGGCGCATTATTCATGACATCAACATGTTGCATGCACACCAGGTGATGCTGCAATGACACAGTATGATGCTTTTCTGCATGTACAGAAACTCAGTTTCTTTTTTTAAAAATATATAATTGCCACTAATGCTTTACAACATATTATCGATGTGCATGAGTTTCTACCATAAGAACTGCCAGTTATAATTTCTCAACATCCCAGAACAACAGGCGATTTTAAAGCTCAGTCCACAACTTATCTTGGCTGGCCGAGAACGGCTGTTCACTGTATTAATACGAACAACGGAGTGGTAGTTTTGGAACGCCGAGAATTTGCGGCAGAAGCCCTGTAATGAAGTTATTTAAATTTTGAAGGCCCAGTAAATAGCTTTAGTTGAAAAACCATCTGGATTACTAAATATTTCTTTCCCTCAATATACAATATACACATTCACAAAATACATTAACAAAAAGTTACTTAAACAGCAGCAGGTGCCAGTGATTAGCCAATTAAATGTAACATTCCATCATTTTAGGGTACAACAAATTACATTTACATAGCGTCTTTCATGTCGGGAGGACGTCCCAAGGCGCAGGACAGACAAGGATTTGCACCCGAGCTGGGGGGTGGATTCAGGAGGGGTGGAGTGCAAGGGGGCTGGAAGTGGGAGGTTGTCAGAAGGCACAGTCAAAGAGGAAGCCATTGAGACAGGCCTTGAAGAAAGCAAGGAAGGGGCTGAGGTGAAGGAACTCCAGACTGGAGTTTCAGAGGGTGGGGGCAGAAACGCTGAAGGCCTGACCACAGATGGTAGGGCAGACATGGCGTAGGACATGGAGCAGGCTAATGCCCGCCGAGCGCAGGGAATGTGTGGAGGAGCAACATTATGGAGGGCTTTAAAAGTGAGGACTAGGCTCTTAAACATCTCACGGGACTTGGTGTGGAAAGAGGACACAAGCTGCTGAGTTCTGAATAATCTGCTGTTCGTGGAAGGAAGAGTTTGGAATTGTAATCTTTCAGTGGAGAATTTGGAGTGTATTTTAGTCAGTGAAGTGGAGACATTTTTAAACTGTCCTGTTGCAAGTAGCGGTGACAGTGAGAACTCTTTTGCATCAAACTTTGATAAACGTATTAAAGAGAAGCAAGCTCAGGTTTCTTATTAAGTACAACCTAGGATTTAGACAACAAATACTTAAATACTATATTTTAATATTTGCTGCATTTAGTACTTATTTTGTTAATGTGTACCTTACATATTTTTTGCACTAAAGCTATCTACTGGGTCAGGACAGGCCATCAGGGTTTACAAATGGGGCCTAAGCCCTAACATATTGACAATCACTTATCTAAATAACAATAGCAAAGCCCAAGAGCTGTGGCTTCACACTTGGCCTTTTTGCAATTTCTGTTATTGTTATTAAGATATCAGGATGATTAGGCAAAGGCTTTGCTGATTTTCGCACGCGAGAGAAATGCCAGACTTTATTCCATTGCATCAGCACTAAGTATGTGTGGTAGCTGTTTGACTACTTTGAGTAGTGTCCTGCAAAGGCAGCAAAGGGAGATAACTGTTTTTGCTTTTTAAATGTAATTTTGTTGTTGTTGTTTGTCTCCAGTGCTCCCCAGAACATCAAGTGTGTTGCTTAAAGCTCCCTCTGCGACAACAGTACTGCCATAGCAGGGTGATGTGCAGGTCAAATGCAGCATTCCAACATGCAATGTCTATGCATGTATCTCCTCTCTTCCCCCCCACCCCACACGTTTCTATATTCCACGAATTAAATCGACAATGGAGTTGAAAAATATCTTGTATGTGAAAAACGCAGCCTAAATGGCGCAAACACGAGATAAAGCCCCTCTGGTTATAAAGTGCGTATTGTACAGGAACTCCATGTATTTCATGCTGACTGATGAGAATAGAGTTTTAACACAAGGCACATTTTGCAACTCTTGTTTCCATCAGAAGATTGCAATTACACTGGTGGTTTTCGTCAAACACTTTCTCACCCTTATTGTTAACCAAGACACCTAGACGATACTATTCTCATCAAAGTTCCGTTCTTTGATTTACTTCTGTATTTGAAGATACCTTTACTTAAACATGCTGAATATTATCTGTAAATATTTCTCTATGAAGTAGTGTAAACTGGGACCATCTGCCTAACCTTTTAAAAAGGCTAATTATTTTGGGCCATGCATGAGGATTAAGCTTAGTGGGCGATTAGTGAATGATTTTACTGATCCAGCCTCAATACCACTTTTGGTAATGAATCCTAAATCAAAATAACCAAGTAACTGAGCCAAGCTGACACAAGATGAATACAATCCTGTGTAACCTAAGCCTCTTATACTTCTCTATTCCTTGACCATTATCTTTCCTTACCTCCAACCACCCTGTGCTTACGTCTTACCTTCAGCTGTCACACTTATCACCTCCCTCGTGAAACCTGCCACCAGTTCTAAATAAGTAAATAACATGCATCCCTCCAGGGAGAGAATGTTCCATTCCAATGCATAGAAATTGCCATGTGTAGGTGGGATGCATGGAATTCTCAGTTTGGTCTGGATACTCCGAAGCATGGTGA